TAAGAGTTACCATTATATTTATTCACATCGGCGTACACTTCAAACTCAACCATACCGTCGCCGCGGGACACATACCCGCCCGACAACAGCATATTACACGTCCGGTACTGAACACAATTGGCCGGCAATCCAATACAGAATCGACGGTCACACACGTCATAGGGTATACGGCTGTGACCGCCCAACTCGGCCACTGATGACTGGCCGTGGGGTACCGACGAGGCGTGCAGGTTATCGCCACCCTTGGGCGGGGCGGCACCGGGTGAGGTCTGTTTAGACTCTGCCGGTTCGCCCTGTCTATTGTAGGCTAAGCTGGGTTTGTGTTGTATGACTACGGGTGCGCTAATGTGTATGGCCTGTGAGTCCTGCGCCGTCCAGAAAACGTTTTTAGTCTGAACTATTGTGGCCCGGAATATAAGCCCTCCGACAAACCCACGGGGTGGTGTCCATGATGATTCAACTTTGTATTTACTGCCACCCGACCGGTGGGTAAGTGTATTCTGGTGAAATAAATAATTTTATTAAATTTAAAATTTTTGTAGATTAATTTGTGTTGTTTATAAAGATATCTGCTTAGTTTGTTCATTATAATTTTGATTTATTTTAATGTTTAATTATTTGTAAAATTTAACAAGATTATGTTTTGAATAGATCGTATTAATAAAATGTTTATTGGTTAGCTAAACAAATTAAATTGTAATGCATTAGTTAATCAGAACCCAACCGGTGGGTTAGCATGTTCTAGTGTCAGGCTCTCCAACTTTCTCCATTTTCTCATCTTCACCCACTTTTTACAAAAAGTTCATTATAAAATTGCACCTTGATAGTGCATGCTTTGAAGGGGTGGCAGGTGGCTAAGGTGAGAAAATGGAGAAAGTTGGAGAGCCTGATTCTAGTGGAATTAATAATTATATTATAGTTAAAATTATGTGTGGATTAATATGTATGTTTATAAAGTGATTGTTTGGTTTTTCCCTTATTTTTTATTTATTTTAATATTACATTCACTTTATAAAATTTTAATTAGTTCTAAAATTAAACAAGATTATTTTTTTAAATAGATTATATAAATAATGCACATTGTTTGACTACTAGACCGATTAATATGTAATGCATTGATTAATTATAATTATTTCGTTATATTATTCATTTTTACAGCTTGATAATCCAGTATTATGATATTTTTCATTATATAATATTTAAATATTCAAAATTAAATACAATTTTGCATTATTTTGTATTCGTAAAATAAAACTTTTATAAAAAATATTAATTAAATATATTATTTGTCACTTGTAACATTTCACATAATTAATCAAATTAAATTTCATGGTGCTTATAAATTAAATATTAATTTGTTTATAATTATTCTTTGTTTAATTTTTTAAAATTTTATAGTACGTAAATTCAGTTTTATTGTATTATGGTATAAATTTTAAATTATTTAATTCTAAAATAAATACTGTTCAATTTAAATGTCAGTAAAATCTCAAATAATTTTATATATTAATTGGTTTATATAATTATTAAAAATAAAATTGATAAAGCACAATTGTTTATTTTTAAAATGTTGTTTAATAAAAATAATTATACTGGCTGATCAATTAATCCATACGTATAGTAGTATTAAATTTTATTATAATTATTTATATATATTGCCTATTGTTTACAGTTTGCAAAATTAATTTTATTAGAATATGGTATTGATTTTATAATAATCACAATTTATTATATTAACGTTTAAATACACACCTTATTTAATTAAATAATTAATAAATAATAAATTTTGTGAACCGATCATGTACAGATCAAAGTTTTCATTATATTGTCATAGATTTGTCAAAACAATCTAGAGTTTAAATGAATTAAAAGCTAATAAATATGTGATTAATGTTGATTCCGATATATGTATACGTGAATAAATGTAACTTTACATAGTCTAATTAATGCATAATTATGGCTTAAATTACATTACAAAACTGACTATTTGTTAGACAATACAACATTTAACAATACACTTAACGCCTTAATTAACTTATAATTATATAAAGTTATAGCCCGACAAAATAAATAACAAAACACATGAACACTTTAACATTACACATATTATATGTTCACGTGCTATTATTTCGGGTAGATTAGGCCCAAGGTTAGACTAGACTTATATAGTTATAGGTAACGGTAAGTTTGACTAACTTAAAATAATTTGATTTATTTGGTAAAACATATAATAAAAATCAGTGTAAGTCCAAATTAATTATAACGTTATTATTATAATAAATGTTTTGTTACTTTCTATGTGTAAAGCCTTGAATTATAGCCAAATATGTTTAGTTTCTTAGAAAATGAATTATTTATTTTTTGACTAAATCGATTAATGTTAAAATATTTATGTTATGACTCTCTCTCTCTCTCTCTCTCTCTCTCTCTCTCTCTC